AAAATCTAAATACGGAATGTCATGTAATTCTCTAACGGTTTAGGGATGCATTTTACCTTATAAAAGTATCATGACACCGAAAGTGTAAACACATATTAGCAACACATTTGCCATTAACTTTTCCTGCTCTGAATTTTCAGTCGAACGTGAAATAATAAAACCTTTTCTTATCTTCATTTCCGCTGCTGTAGTAATTTATGTAATCTTTCTTCATCTCTGGCCTTAACCTGTATCAGCGCCAGTAAGGTACGTGGTTGTGGGGGCTGTTTCAGGAGTGGGTACTCAGCAATATCAAACTAAGTACAACGGTGAGGACTAAGACTGATATGTTACATAAGACCTTGGATCATAGTCCAATCGAAGTTAGTTGGTGTCTGGTACACTTATCGGCCTACCTTTAGAATACAGCACCACAAACTTTAAAAATACGTCATAATACCCTTTACGTAATGTAATGTGATTTTGTTCGAAAGCACGTTCTCGATACAATGCCCTATGACGCCTGCATGGCAACACGGTTGTCTGGCTCAGCGAGTGCGTATAAGCTCCGCTCACTGGTGTTTCATCTCTACGAGCCATGTCATTGCATAAGCCCAACGATGTTGAGAGTTTCCAGTAGTTGTATACCGGCGGATGCGCAATATGTTGCAAGCACCAGTTTGAAATATGTTTCTGTTTTTCACTAATACGCTCCATATTTATTTGTATTACGGGCTGCTGAGGTATTATGTTTTGTGTATTTTGTATTTTGTAATTTTAAATTTACATATATGTTTTCGTCTTTCAGTAATTTGCACCATTACATAGAAAAGTGTTTTATTAGTATTTTATTTTTTCGAAGCGGTAATAATGCATTACACTAGACACGTCAGTCGTGTTTGTACCGGTTCGGTCAATGCATTCTATTTATTAGGATTAATTCAAGGGATTGGGGTTAGGTTAGGGTTAGGGTTAGGTTAGGGTTAGGGCCAGGGCTAGGGCTAGGGCTAGGCCAGGGCTTAGGGCTTAGGGCTTAGGGCTTAGGGCTAGGGTTGGGGTTGGGGACCTAATGCAATATAGTAGGTACATGTCCGGTGGTTCGGTCAATGCATTCCTATTTATTAGGAATATTTCAAGGGGTTAGGGTTAGGGTTAGGGCTGAGGGTTTAGGGGTTTAGGGTTTAGGGTTAGGTCCGGTGTAATACGTGAGTACCATTGTTGTTCTTCCTTTTGCATTTTAATACTTTATTTTCACACAAAACGGGAAACCAAAAACGTCGAAAGTACATTATGAAATGGGTTAATGTTGAAATGTTGGGCTAATGGAAATTGGGCTGGAATTTGCACTCGCCTCTTTCACACGCAACATAAAATTTTGTTCAGTAATCATTCGAAGGCTAACTCACCCTCGTGCCGTCACTACACCTTGCTCATGTCTCCATCGTTCCTTAGTGCGATCCACATTATCCTTACAGTGTTCCCTACATCACTTTTCTGTCACAAAATCACCGATTTATATAAATGCGCGTCATTCATGCATGCACCGTGAAATCTACGTCTGACGCCTGACGTCAACATCCCTTTTAGTTTGAGGCATATCGGCTCATTCCACGCCACACGTTAATTTGTAGATTACGGAATGGGACGTGTGCTAAATGGCATCGGATCCATCCGGCAATTGTCCGGAGAATAAAATCACGAGACACCAAGTCTACCCGTAACCTTCGTAATTGTCCGTGACCTATTCGACTCTTTCCGTTCATTTCCGTGACGTCACAGGAATGACTCGATAAATTTGCACTTTTGTGCAACAGTGTGGACGTAGCTCAGTCGGTTAGCTGTCGTGTGCTAACAATCCGAAGGTCGCGGGTTCGCGTCCGACGGGTTCTCACAAACTGGTTGCTTGTCTTAATGACATGTGACCTACGGCAGAGATGGTCCTCACGAGAAGTTGTGGTGCTGTATTCTAAAGGTGCTCCTAGCCAGCAAAATGACGACAACCCAAAGCTTGTCCCATGTTACAATAATCATAATTAGTGAATTACAAAGTCGCCATGCCTAAATCACAATGGGGAATACACTGACTAACGGTGTCCGTGAATGCTCAATGACTGTTTTTTAACCCGCGTAATCAATTACTTGTAACGCGTATAGTTCATTTACTAGAAATAAAATAATTCCTCGGATCCTACTGAATAAGTAATATTATTTGATTTCATATTTCACATGAACCATACTAATGTTCTTGAATGAATCAGTAATTGCGATTACGATTGAAATGTAATGAATGTATTTTGGAGCTACATATGCACGATTGAGAAAAAAACTGCAGAATATAGTTGATTTTTAAAAATTGAAAATAGAACTATGCATTTACATTCATCTTTTTCGGGGCATGCACCTTGTAAGGAAACATTTGACCAGGACAATAACTATATTCACATAGAGAGATGGACTGAGACAAAGTAAACCTAACTACAACTTCAACACCAGACGGCAGGCTCGTATTCTCTGCGTTTAGTTCATTTACTACATTTGACTAGAACAATATATCTTTTAACAATCGGAGAAATCTTTGTTGTTTCAGTCGAGAATATGACAGGTTACCTAGAGAGGCGAATGGTGATGAATGGCCTAGCAAAATCGTTCACTTTGTAGTTTGCATTATAAAACTGTAATACACTCCGCTCCTTGAAACCTCTGTTATTTTCTGTGCTTTCACTGCTTTCTTAAGGCTGTTCAAGATTACTTGCTGTAAATCGCAAAGACGTATCGGTAGAATTATCCTGACATAACTGATACTACAATAAGCTGTGTAGAAGTACGGTGTGATAGCCTAGTGGTAAATGTGTTCGTTTGACTCGCCTAAGACCCGGGTTCGATTTCCAGAGGAATAAATTGTGTGCAGCCCATTTCTGGTGTCCCCGCAGTGATATTGATAACATGCACTGGTCTGCTTAAAAGCGGCATAAACACATACATTAGCTATACCCACACAAAATTTGCTCCGACCAAATTGCCAGTTATACAACCGCACGTGCACTTGTGCATCACACTCGTATACATTTACATTTTAAAATAGTGACAACATCCTGAGTGTCCATATTCAAAAAGATATCTCTGCCAGTTGTTGATAAAGCAATTCCGACTGCATCATGAACATGTGCTTATGAAACACTTCTCCTGTCCCATCGATGGCAACCTCCCCGAACACATACACATGTAATCAATTGTTATGGAACAAAACAGAATTGCATTGTGAAGCATTTCATCACTTCGTATCTCCTCTACGATGACATTTTACTAATTTATTGGAGGCGGTGGGGTAGCCTTGAGGGTAAAGTGTTCGCCTCGTCACGCCGAAGGCCCGGGTTCGATTCCCCACATGGGTGCAGTGTGTGAAGCCCTTTCAGGGATATTAACCACCGTAATCTGACTTAAATAGAACTATGTACAAGATCGCTATGGTGTATTACCGTTGTATCTGCACTTTAATAGACATATGCACTATCTCTCGAGGGTATTTATCATTGTAATCTGACCTTAACAGAACTTTATGCGAACACTCTGTAGTGAATAGTATTGTATTTGGACTTAGATTCGAGTTATGTACTACCACTCATTGGTATATTACTATCGTCATTACTTTGCAGCAATTCGTTTACAAGTTGAAACAGATTTTGTCGTGGTTTTTTTGGGGAATGGCCAGACAGACATTTAAGGGGGCAGATTCAAACCAACATGCATGTTCATGTATGTCATCTGTTGACATGGATCACAGCATTCGAATATATATATGGTGCAAATATTCAATTATGTAGGTATTTTCCACGTAAAACATGATAATGTGTGCTAGAGTCTCATGTAGGGGCCTTGCAGGACAGTAACTGTTGATCTCCATGTCCAGCCCTGATTGGTCTATCAGAAAACACCTTTGGTGGTTTAAACTGTACACCAAACGCTCGCGTTGTCTTGGACACATGCATTGACCTGCCAACATCCCTTCCGTCTTACGTCTGAAGTTGTCGTTTTGTCAGATGTGGCATTTATATAATGTCGGCTGATGGACACAGAGTGTGATGGAGCAACTGTGTCCCTTTCCGCATTTATAGACAAATAGCCATGACAGTGGAAATGTCACCGATAGTAAGTTTATTTAGGTATTGTCAAGAATCCTCGGCAGCTTTCAACCAAAGCAATAGAGGTTTATGTTCAAACGGTTTTACAAAAAAGATCATATTCATATATACTGCGCTCCCAGTAGAAGCGAGAATAATAAATTGAATTATTACGTTTCAACTCTTAACAACCAGGTGGTGTGTGGCTCTGTGCATAGAGCTCAGGTCACTGATCAGTTGAAGTTAAGCAAACGTTGGGCGCGGAGAGTCTTTGGGTTGGTGATCGTGTTTGGCAACTTGACTCCTGAGAGTTAATTCAGTCCTGCACCACACCGAAGCACATGTGTTACATCTTGTCTCACTTTTAGGAAAGTGAGCTTTTTCAAACTGCCTCCGTTCACCCAGCAGAAAAATGGATACCCGGTGGGATACGTCATGTGACTATTAACCTTCTAGCGCCCTCACAGGCAGCTTGGGTTATCCGGGGTAATAATGTGCTGATTGTTGGCGCTACGAGCATTCATCTAGTGAATGGAGTTTAGTGCATTATAAATGCACTTGTTATTATCATTTTTAATAATAAGAATGATAATTAGCACAACACTATGAAGAATGACTGCTTTTATTAGAAATTGCTGAAACGCGATGCTCCGATGAAAGGATCCCTATGGTGTTCTTTATAAACTGCAGCCAGTTAGCCATGAAATACTAATGCAAACCGCATAAATTAATAAGTTAGTAATGTGGCAACGTGTTTGAAATATGTATGGGTGTGGAACATTTCCACATTTTAACATGACCATTAAATTGTGCATAAGGCACAAGGAACAAAGAACCCAGTCTTGTATGGGCGGACACGGCAGAGCTCCACACTGGTACTCCACGTTGAACAACAAACGACCGTCATGGTCCTGGTACGGCTTCCTTCTGTTGCTTTTGGTTCTGAATCAAGGCAGATGTAATCAGTATTCCAGCATCTGCGTGTTTTGGACCAACCAGGAATCCCCAGTACTTTGTGTGCCATCCTTCCATACACTCGTGTCTTCCAGGAACCAACGTGGCGGTGGACCGTGTGATGCTCACACAGACAGCGCAAAGCGCATCTTCGTTGGTAAGGTCTGTCCTCCATATCTGTTCATATTCTGCCCCATACAGGTAGTTGAGATTTGCCTGTTGTTCTGCCGAACGTCCGAGTGAACTGGGGTTCCGAGTGAGCACAAAGCATCTGTTTGTGCCCGAGCCTGTATGCGCAGAGTGACCTCCAACTGCAACCAAATCCTGGAACAGAAGAGCATATAACGTTAGTGCCCAAGAAAAACCCCTGCCTTGACTATCCTCAAAGTCCATTTTGTGCCCGAGAAAGGCGAAGAAGCATCTGTAGAAAATCATCTGAATGGACAAGTGAAAATCAGTGATGACTCCAGGTTTTGCAAGTAAAGGAGGCACCATCCATTCCCCTAAACAAAATGGGCAGTTGGGTAGCCTAGTGGAAGTCCAGGTAGCATGAATGTTTAACGGTGATTCATGTACATATGTTCATGGGGCCAGAAGTGGTTTAAAGGGCTGAAGCTCGTCATAACCTGAAGACTCGGGTTCGATCTACAACATGGGCAATGTAAATGTGAAGCCTTTTTTGGTGTCCCCGCAGAGATATTGATGGGATATTGCTAAAGGTGGCGTAAAACTAAAGTCATTCACTCATTAACAGAAGAATTAGTGATCTTAAGGTCTATTGAATCAGACAGTGAGTGAATTTGTTTGATAAGAAAGCGACAAAACCTTTCCATGTTAAATCCTACATTATCAACGTCAGAGAATAAAGATTTACATCTCGATTGTAATATATTATGGTAACATTGTATCGCCTGTTCAAGTCACAATATACCTGCAATACTGCCGACGTGACTTCAAAGGTTTTACTCCTTCACTCACTTTAGTGATAACAACGTATTTGTATTCAACATAATAACTATTTACATAATGTTTCACTTTATGATTCAGACCAACGCTAATGACGAGTTAAGGAATTCACAAAAGCATTTTGAATGACAATACAGGAAATACTTTACCACTATAAGCAGGTTCCGCACCCTTCTGGACAAGATATCACTTCCCCAGCGTGCGGAACACTGCGCCACCATGATGACTCAAATGAATACATAGCAAAATAAAAACGTCGTTTAACTTCACGATGGTTTAATAGCCCACTCGTCAAATAAATAAAAGAAACACTTTCTAATTTTCAAGGAGAAATGCTCCATGAAGAGCAAGAGTCGAACTTTATTTCAAGGAGTAATATCTGTGTGTTTCTGAGCACTATCAAATAGTTATGGTACCTTAGGTTTTATCGGAAAGGGACCCCTGGCATGTTACAAACACACATTCAAAGGCAAGTCAATTGTTCAGATGAAAGTTCATGGGCACATATTGTACAAATCACAATTGAGTTGTTAATATTGATGAGAATAATACACATGCAATGGGAATATTTATTCAAAGTATTAATGTTTGTTTGTTTGTTTGTTTGTTTGTTTGTGTGTTTGTTTTGCTGTTTTTAATGCTTGCAGCCTGTCAAGAATCCAGTGATTGACATCACTTTATGAGCATCGATGAAAGCAACAGATATGTAATCAATCAAATCAGCGAGTCCTGACCACCTGATCTCGTTAGTAGCCCCTACATTTACACCCATTGGCTGTTGAAGACAAATTCTTCACGGGTGCAGTATTAAATAGATCGACTCATATGAACGTTACAAAGCAAGCAGATACTTATTTAATGATATGATCTATATGATTCTACATTCATTCTGATTCATTAGCATACTTTCTACTACCATTAACTAGGATGAAGCACCAACATCCTTTTCGATTATCATTTTAAAAATGGTGTGTTTCTGCATTTAGAATACGTATATCAGTACTCACCTGTTGGCAGGTATCTCATCTGCATAGTCTCCTCCTCCTCTTCCTCCTCCTCCACCTTTCTGTGGTCAGCTCCTCATCCGTGTTTCAGCACTGTCCATTAATTTCAAACTCTCCGCAAACATTCCCGACATTGCATCCATATGCTTCGATAAGTTCCTCGTCAACTCCTGCGTCCTTTGTATAGCGGTTTCTCATCTGTGTCGCGGTTATAATTCCCCTTACACAGTGCCTTGTGCACGGTCCAGAAGGAGAAGGACAATAACAACCACTGAAGCCGGGCGAAATCCCATGACGGTTTTACTCAAACTTACTAACTACATCAACAGACTTTGAGCTATTGAGGATGTGAAGAATACTGCAAGTCTTAGACATGTGAAGACTGATCGTCAAGCCATCTTATGTAATCCCCTAATTTGCTCTAAAGTTGTTTACATTACGCAATTCAACAGCAGTCGGTTCTGATGGAGGCGTATGAATGCCCCATTCTAGACCAAATAAACCAGTGGTTGATGTTAAGTGAGCGTCGCTTCAGGGCATGATGACCACATAATCAACCTAATTAGCCACAATCACGTGTTTCGTAGCTTGGTCTCATCTGATTGGTATAGGTTATTGGAGACCTATACCACCACAAAGACATTGCTATCATTGTAACTTCTCATCTCAACCTATCTCTATGCTGCTGTAAGTCATGTTTTTAATCCCTTCTATGTATTTTAGATGTGAATGGTTAGCGATTATGACATGCGTATCATCGTATCTCAGTTTATCTCTTCATCAAGTTGATAATATTTTATGATATTTATGCCATAATATTAAACATTTGAACATCATTACGTACATCCGACGAAGTAACGTCTTTGTCAGTGATACAGGTGTCGAAATCCTCCTGACTGGGCCCCTGAAGATATCCACATGTCTTCTGATATCATCATCTGAGTGATATTCCATTGAAGACTCTGATGCCATGACCTCTTGAGATCTCAAGGTCGAATGTTGCCCATGAGCATAGACGCTAATATTCAGAGCTCCACAGTATTTAAAAGGTTATGTAAAGATTAACAGATAGGGTGTACCGGGTTAAGACAGATCAGAGGGACGAGAGACAAATGGATAAAAGTGCGTTGACTTAAATGGTTCCCCGAATACATAAATATAAATTTAAGACAAAGCACATTAAGTTCCTAAAGGAACATCCGCGCCAATTTCTGGTCGAACATGCAAATGTGTTCAGCACAGATAATTTTAGACAGATTCACCCAGTGTCCACCTTCGATGTAATTTCATCTGGCAAACATAAGGATTATGTATTGTCGGAATTCTCTTGAAATCAAATTACGATGAAACGGCGTGTTGTTTCGCTGCTTTATTTGCAAATAAACATGTTTCACAACCAATGCTGTGGGTATCGGGTTTGGGGTATAAACATCGTTGATTTTCAAAGCGTCACAACAGATAGTCGATTGATTATTCAGAATAAGATGTCACAAACTGCCCCTCAATGACAACTTCTTTGAATTGGTCTTCTGTAATCCATGTCTTAAGAGGCAACTAACGGGATCGGGTGGTCAGGGCTCACTGACATGGTTTATTTGTCATCGTATCAAAAGTAGATCAAAGGTCATATCAATCAATTTGATTGTCTGGTCAGACAGCCGTCATATAGCTGGACTACTGCTGAATGCGGCATTGTTGAAACAAACAAACGAATATGTTTCATTGGTTTTCACCACATTTCTGTTTTACTTCTTGACCCTTTATTTTATGTTATTGTCACGAGGGGTTTGGTTTTGTGTTAATGTCTAATCACAATGGCGTTGATGTAATAATGTTTAATAAACGTCAACGCACAAGGATAGGTTAAACTTTATTTTATTCATTCATTTATTCATTTATTTATTCATTCATTCATTCATTCATTCATTCATACATTCATTCATGCATTTATTAATTTATATTATTATTATTATTTATTTATTTTATCACCTTCGCACCTGAGTGAACAACATCATCGGGTACAGCACGATTCACTTGACATTTTCTAGAATAAGGCTAGCTTAATGTATGACTGAAAAATAAGTTTAATTCTAGTCAAAAACTCTGATGTCCATCACTCTGTTTTATTTATTTTTGAAAGTACAAATACTCGAATTTTGGCTACATATTTCAACCTTAGCTATATCAAGCTATTCTATCGGCCTGTAATCCAATTTGGGCAAGATAATCATGCACTGACATCATGAACATTGATCCACCGAATTTGAATACAATGAGGCTGCATTTAACCAAGTCTCCGCTAACCATAACCACCCTAGCGCTTAGTGGGCCCCTTTCGACAAGCCATTATACCTATTCTAGTTAGCTAGAGACCAATGTTCGTACAATTTAAAAGCCCCGGCGTTGAAACGAACGTTCGACACCCTTAGCAGCGTTCTTACACGGTCACGGTGAAGACCCGGATTAGAATTGCGTGTTCAGCAACCCATGCTTGTCGTAACGAGGCGACCAAACGGGTCGGAAAGTTCGGCTGGGTGGTTTGGTTGCTATATGTCATCGTATCCACATTGCGTAGATCGGTGCTCATGCATCCATTATCTTAATTACACACTCCGCCAAATAGCTGGACTATTGCGGAGTGCGGGAGTTAAATAAACAAACACGTTGGGTTTCACGTACGTCTTGACAATCTGCCTATTAACCTTATTGCCAATCAGCGCCCGATTTCTCAATACAATGTTCACCATGTTCAAACAGGCTGTGCAGCGGTTGAGTCCGTTATGTTTCGACGTCGCAAAATGTAATACACAGTCTGCACCTTACACGCCTGACCACCATCCATCTACGACCACACGTGATATAACAGCAATACGCAACTGGGGAACGAAGCGTACCG